CAGGACTGAGCAGTGTTTCATGCTGTTGTGCATAAGTCATTATGAGTCAAAACCGACTCAGCAGCACCTAACAACAACAGGTTTGCTGAAAGTCAGAATTGCCTAGACAGGAAAGTGCACATATGCATTGATAACATGCTTAACCATGAACTCTTTGTTAACCAGGCTTCCTATTGATTATCCCTAAGTACTCTTGTTGTTGTTAAGGGTCGTTGAGTCGGTTCCAACCCATAGCGACCCTGTCTAGGGTTTCCAAGGAGCGACTGGTGAACTTGAACCACCAACCTTGTAGTTCAAATGGCTTTTCAGTCTGGCGCATTAACCCACAGCGCCACACCAGGACTCTAAGTACTCTTGTTGTTGTTGTTGTTATGTGCCATCGAGTCGGTTCCGACCCATAGCTTTAGGGATACTTAATTTTCCCCTAAGAGATGATAATCAAACCTGTGGTTGTTGTTAGGTGCTGTTGAGTTAGTTTTGACTCATAGTGACTTATGCACAATAGAATGAAACACTGTGCCATCCTCACAATCATTTTTAAGCTTGAGTCCACTGCTACTTCCACTGTGATAATCCATCTCATTCATTGTCAAAAAGAAATATCCAGATCAGTCATGAGGTTCAGTGCTGTCTGTGATAGGATAATGTCCATGCGCCTACAGAGGAAGACCCCCAATGAGATGGATTGGCCAAATGGCAGCATAGATGGACTCAAGCATGGCAACAGTAGTGAGGTTGGCCCAGGATCAGGCAGTGTTTCGTTGTGCTGTGCATAAGGTCGCTATGAGTACGTACCAACTCGTTACCACCTAACAACAACAAATCTTTCCTGATACTCAACTCTCTTTATTGTTTCCTTCCGTTTTCTGAGAATGTGTAGTTTATACTTGTAACTCACAGGAAAACCACAGTCACCTTTTCTTCTTATTCAGGTAGCAGATACTAGATTAGTTGTTGTTAAGTGACAATTTATCTAAAAGTATGATATATTCCCATATAAAACCCACCAAACCCAGTGCTGTTGAGTCTTTTCTGATTCAGCAACATTACAGGACTGAGTAGAACTGCCCTACAGGGTTTCCAAGGCTGTATCTTCATGGAAGCAGACTCACATCTTTTTCCCATTAAGTGGCTTAGAGATTTGAACCTCTGACCTTTCAATTAAACTGCCAAACACTTTATCTGTGTGCCATCAAACTCACTGCCATGAAGTTGATTTTGGCTTAGTGACACTCTATGCAAGGTTTCCAAGACTGAAAATATTTATAGGATCAGACAGCCTCATCTTTCTCCCACAGAGCAGCTGGTGAGTTTGAACCACTAACATAGCAGTCAGCAGTTCAAAATCACCAGGGCTCCTGTATTCCCAATTAGCTCAGTACATGGTGGCAATGGTGGTTGTATGCCACCAAGTCAGTTCTCACATACAGTGACCTTGTTTGTACAGGATTTCTGAGGCTGTAAATCTTTGTGGGAGCAGAAAACCTCATCTTTCTCTTGCATAGTGACTGGTAGATTCAAAACCATCTTGTCTCCCTGCTTTTACTCTCCCTCCCTATCACTTCTTCTTCACAAAGCAAGCAGAGTGATTTTTAAAATACATAAACAGCACTCCCCTGCTTTACTATCTCAAACAGCTTCCCATCACTTTGGGAAATCCAAACTCTTCACTTTGCCTTTCTCAGCATTTCATGATCAGTCACATTGGCCTTCTTTGTGTTCCTCTAGCACTCTAAGCCTACCTCCAGGCCTTTGCACTGTTACTAGTGGAGTGCTTTTTGCTCACATCCTTGCCAGTCTGGGTCCTTGTCCTTCAGATTTCAAACAAATGCTTCTCCCTCTGAGGCTTCCCTTGAACACTCATCAAAAGTCGCCATCTGATTTTTTTAGTTTTATTGCTTTTAATTCTCAGCATAGCCATTGTTGTCTGTTTTTTTCTGTTTGTTTATTGTCTGCACCCTCCTAGGGGGACAGAACAGGCTCTGTGGGACTAAGGACCATATCCGTCTTGTCCGCCATTGTATTGCAGGCATCCAGACAAGGGCTGACCCATAGCAGGCAATGAACATTTTGCTGAATGAATGAATTCACATAATTCACTCTCTGGTTTGACACCTAACTTATTATAGTATTTAGTGCCATGAATTGGAAGAGATCCGTGTTCTAGAAGCAGGGGAGAAGGTGGATAGTGGGAAGTAGGTTCTAAAAGCATGTGCCTATTTTATCTGAGATTAGTGTAGAAAACAGCTTTTAGATGAAACACTTGTACATATTACTTTTATCTTTGAGAAGCTGAAATCTTTATGGAGAATTGAACTTTGCCATTGAGTCAAAGATTTGAGCAATGTTCTACACAATAAAATTAGCTAGAGCTGTTTCACCTTTATCGTTTTATGGCAAATTATCTGACTGCACCCAGTAGCTGTCACACCAGTTACCTTTATCTGCAGTCTTCTGTAGTTAACTTCTAGTTCCATTATGTGACATGAGATGGAAAGCAAGAAAACTGGAGCTCTTTATTGTAAAATATGTTAATAGAGGAGTGAAGATAGGTATAATTCCTCAATGACACCTTGCATTAATGGGAAGCAGAACTGAAAAGAGGGGTTGTTGTTGGAAAGGACAATTGTAGTGTGCAGTAAACAAGATAAGTCAGACTGTTCTCTGACTTAGGGAACTCAGGCTTTAAGTTAGGCCACCACATGACATACCATTGTCTGGAAGCAAATTAAATCATACCACATACTGCAAAAAGTCAACTACAAAACAGATGCTACTTAAGTTGTATCTCTTGATGTAAAAATAAAAGTTTTAGCTTTATAACATTAATATGTTTTTAAATTGTGAGAAGTTTTAACTGCATGACTTTGCTCTTAAGGCTATATAAGCTTAATTTGTTACCTGATAAAAAATTCTAAGTAAAAATTGAATGAGACTGTACAACATTGTGAATGTAATATCACTGGGTTGTACACCTAAAAATGGCTAAAATGGTAAAATATATGTTACATATGTATTTTACCACAATAAAAAATTTTAAACCGTGAATGTGAGAATGAAAAGATTAAAAATGTATATTAATTTTCAAAGCTTAAATTGCTAAATTCAAAGAAATTTACTGTTTGTGATAGTATCCTTTGTTTTTAATAATGAAGATTGGCCACAATAAACAAATATATTGATAGCTTTAAATTAATTCTGTTTTTTCATATTCTTTAAGCAGAGTTCAGACGACGAAGACTGCTCTGCAAAAGGAAAGAATCGTCATATTGTAGTCAATAAAGCAGAACTTACTAACTCCATTGAAGTGTTAGAAAGCTTTAAATTGGCCAGGGAGAGCTGGGAGTTGCTCTATTCCCTAGAATTCCTTGACAAGGGTAAGAATATGTTTGTTATATTGGTGCTGTTTAATTTTTTATATAAAATCTTTATTCTTAAAATATTACTCTGCTCTTTGAAATGTAACGTCACTGATGGCTCATTTAATTGATTACAGTAGCTCACACATTTTATATTCTTTTTGTTCAGGATGCCTAATCAATTATTAATATTCAAGTAACCATTTACTCCCACTCTAAAGGCATATTATATTGGAGTCTGAGGGAGATTTTTTGGTCAGCGTGTAACCCAGTAGTTTTTTTAACTGGGTGAAAACAAAATGGAATCTTATTCTGGGGAAAAGCAAAGTGTTTTAAAAGACAAAGAAGGTAGCACATAAAAAGCAGTTTGAACAGTTATTGGCACATAGTGTTGAGTTAATGTTGGTACCTAATAAAGATATGTATCACTAATCACTGGTGTGTTCTAACGTCACTTTCTAATTGAAATTTTATCATATTATTATAGAAACCAAAATCCAAAGTTACTGTACAGTGTTTTGGTAATGTTCTCTATTAAATGCTATTGTTCTCTCTTGCTGGGTTGGTTAATTTTGCTTTGTGTCTCTGTATTACATATTTTGGGTAAATTTGTTTTTGAATTCTCACTCAGAATTTACAAGAATTTGTTTGGCCTGGAAGACAGATACTTGGCTTTGGTTAAGAATCTTCCTTACTGATATGATCATCTATCAGGTAAAGTCAGCCCTGCATCACATGTTTACTGTTACAAACCAAGTGCAGCATGTGTTGGGCTCCCACTGTGGGCTAATCATGCTTGTTTTTTTCAATGGCTGAGATGTTATGGTCCACTGTCATCTCAAAATAACTTCAGAATGACAAGTCTGCATCTTCTATGTTATTGTTGGTTTGTCCAGCACACCCTTCTATAAGATTTCTCACTTTTCAATAAAAGATGAGTACTGTTTGCTTCTCTTTATTCTGGTAAAATTCTTGGTTTGCTGTACTGTATTTGAGTTACTTATACTTAGAATGGAGTCCTGGTGTGGCACTGTAGGATAAGCACTGGACTATTTACCTCAAGGTCAGCAGTTCAAACCCACCAGCTACTCCTCAGAAACTTTACACAGGGTTGTTATGCATTGGAACCTACTCCACAGCACTTAACAACAGTAACAAAATACTTAGAATGGAGACTAGATAACTGTCTTTCTTGTTGAGATGGATAAATTGTTGTATGTATCCTTCATAAAACAGAAAGTCTTATTAGTAGTAAGATATTTCTAAGGAAATGCTATATCCAAAATGTACTTTTTTAAAGGGCTTGTGTTATTTTGTTTAGTCTTAAGAATTAAGGCCATACTTATGAAACAGGATATGAATCCCCTTATAGCTTAAGTTGTTGTTGTTAAGTACCGTCGAGTTGGTTCCAACCCATAGAGACCCTATATAGAGTTTCTGAGGAGCAGCTGGTGAGTTTGAACTACCAACCTTGTGGTTCAAACCAACTTTGCAGTCCAGAGCATTAACCCACAACGCCACACCAGGACTTAAATTTGTCTGTTTAATTCTGTTCATTAAGTCTCCTTTCTCCTCCTCTGGTGATCAAGTAATGGTACCTTCGGAGTAATTGCTTAGTTAACTTTGGTTATATTTTTTCCCTCCTTACTGTTATGTCTTTCTAAGGGTCAGTATAAAAAGGCAATAGCCAGTCTACATCATTTAGCAGCTCTCCAGGGATCACTTCCTAAACCACAGATCACAGGACAGGGGACCCTGGAACATCAGAGAGCACTCATCCAGCTTGCCACTTGCCACTTTGCTCTCGGAGAATACAGAGTAAGTACTGTGGGCCGAGCATAGAACTATAGATGTACGGGGGTGCTTTAGGGGCTTTCTTCTTTTTACCTAGAATTGTCTTTTAACTCAATACATGTTTTTGATCTGTCTCCTTAGATCTACTAATCTGCTCAGCTAACCTACTAAACTACTAATCATCTCATTTACTAATGACAATCATGATGGTTTACTTTCTTCTTTATTTTCTCTTTTACTATGGTGGTAGTGGTGGTTATGTGCCATGGCTTTCCTGAAATTGGGCTTGGCACTTTTCACATTCCTGGGCATGGTACCATTTTGTTGGTCTTTTTTACTCTCTTGCCTGTAATTCCTTTTAAGTGCTGTCAGGTTTCTTGTATTTTGAAAGAAGAGGCCATAAGTAAGTGGGAAATGGAGAAGGATTTACATTTAGCTTACCCAAACCCTAGCCTCTCCCTTTATAAATGGTGGTGCTACCTCAGAGGAGTGTTGCAGAAATCGATTTATATACACGTCTGTTTTCTTCGAGATTGTGAGCCCCTCCTACTATAGGTGAGGACCATGATGCTGGGTGTGAATCCCTCACAGCCTCTGGCAGGGGATTTGCAGAGTGGGTACTTAATATACATTTGAAATCAATTAAAATGATACATGTACTTTATATATATGTAGATGGTGGTTGTTGTTGTTAAGTATCATCGATCTGGCCTATAGCGATCTGTATAGGGTTTCTGGTGAGCAGCTGGTGAGTTTGAACTACTGAACTTGCTGTCAAACTGACTTTGTAGTCCAGTGATGCCCACAGCGCCACACCAGAACTCCGCATCAGGATTAAAATCCCTAAATTAAGCTGTTTACACTGAACTCTGAAATATTCATAATTTGTCATAATGATTTTTAGAAACAGTTGGAGAATATGTACAATATATGCATTTAAAATTGAAAACACTTTCCACCATCATTTGTGTTAAGTATGTGATACCTTATAATTCTAAGTTTCAGTTAAGTCATTCTAAGAATTTAAAAGAAGAGCATATCTTCACCCACATAGATCTTCGTAACTCTTGTCAACTTGAAGCTATACGGGGCACTACTGCTCTTCACATAGTTGTTGTTATGTGCCGTGGAGTCAGTTCCAACTCATAGCGACCCTGTACAGGGTTTCCGAGGCCATAAATCTTTATGAGAACAGAAAGCCTCAGCTTTCTCCCGCGGAACAGCTGGTAGTTTCGAACTACTGACCGTAAGGTTCTCAACCCAATTCGTAACCACTACGCTACCAGAGTTTCTTCTTCACATCGTGAGGACTGTCAATTAAACTCAGATTAAATTAACCTAGGCAAACTCATTGTCTTTGAGGGCTTCAGTTAACCGCCTCTGAACTGATCACTATTAGGTCTTCATGTGTAGTGCTTAACCTAATTTATTCCTGAATATTCAACTGCCTGTCTTCAACTCCAGCTTAACATGTTCAGGTATGGGTTTCTTTATTTCCCCAACCCTTAGACATAAAACTTTTAGGTCATGGTTGACCTACTCTAGCTAATTAATGACTAACTCCTTTTTTTGATCCATTCGGTGTGGTGCTCATCTCCTTGGTATATTACCTTTTTTCCAGTACCGCCACCGTACTCCAGGTCTTTTTTTAAAAAAAGTTTGTATTGTGAACTGAGTGATAGTTTACATGGGAGAACATCAGCTTTATACCATCATTTCATTGCACTGATTACAATCTCCTCCGTGCATCATCATTCAACAGTATTTGCTTCCATTCCCTCTGGTTTTTGTTGTTGTTGTTTTTGGGAGGGGGTGTACACAGAAACACTCATGAATATACCAAATACTTTAAACAACCAAAGGGTACATTCTGCAAACCTGCCTCCTGGCCGCCACCTCTCAGTCCATCTCTTTCCATGAGTCTAGAGTCCTCAGCTGCTCCCTCTCTCCATGTACCCATCTCTGCCTCCATCTCTGGTGTCACTGCTTCTCTGGATAGGGTCCCACATTCTGCTTGTTCTCTTGTCCCTTGATGGTCCTGGGGTCATCTGTTCCTGAACTGTAAATTAACTACTCCCCCGTTTTTGTTACAAAACCTTTAGAATTGTGACAGTCGCAATTAGTACTGATAACAATTACTCACTATTGAATGATAAGAATCTTATCACCATCACTTTTCACCAGACCTGTCGAGACAAGATGAAAACTATTCAATGGGGACTCTATCTTCCCCCACACACTCTTAAACTAAACTCCCTTTTGAAACCTTGTCAGCCAGTCATTCGTGCCTTTATCGCCCCCCTCGTTTTAGGTAGCCAGTATCTAAGTTGCCCGTCACTATCTACCCTATATACAGAGAGGATAGAATGGATACTTAATGTGAAGACTCCTTTCCTCCCTTTTGGTATTTTAAGCTACTACCTCCATAAGTATAGGTCAGTTTCTACTATAGGTCAGGCCTTTTAACTGATTTTTTTGCCTATAATTTTTTTTTCAACCTAGTCTGTAAATTATGGCCATTGCTTTTTTAAATATTGCTTTAAGCATTTCACATAATTTGAGTATTGACTTTCCAGGTGCCCAGTGTCAAAGCAGACATGGGGGTGGGGAGAAGAAGCAGGGTGTGCCTAAACCAGGTTGCTGCATTTAGGGTGCATGTCATTTAAATTGGGGGAACGCAGTGACTCCATATGATAAACACTAGACTGTGAACCACAACATCCACAGTTCAAGCCCATCTGCTGCTCCGCAGGAGAAGGATGAAACTTTCTGCTCCAGTGAAGATTTAAGGCCTCGGAAACTCTATATAGGGTCGCTATGAATCAGAACTCAGATGAGAAGGCACTATAGAAAGTATAAGACTTTATATAAGACAGTTTAAAATAAGATATTAAGCACTATGCCACAAGTTTTCATCAAGGTCCACCTAGTCAAGGAAAGAATACAGAAAAGACTGGCTGGAGGTAGTATTGCAGCATTGGGGCACATGACACCATTACTTTACATTCCTAGCCCCCACTACTTTCTTAGTAGCTGTATGACCTTAGACAAGTTAACTTAACAAGACTATCTCACTCCACAGTTCAAGCTCTTTACTGAGCTTGCTGCCTCTCAGCTAGGGCTTCACAACCCTGTGGCTCTGGGTGGATTTAAGATGTACCAAGCCTTCAACCTTGGGGTAGGGCAGCTAGAGCTCCCAGCGTTGGTTGCTGCCAACTCTGAGCAGCAGCTTCTCTTTCCCCTGGCATGCCTTGCAATATTATTTTCTGCAGGTGCCAAGACATGAGGAAGGTTGGGAAGCACAGCTTTAAGACTCTACTTCCTTAGTGTCTGTTTTTATTTTTAGTGAGTTAATATACATGTCTTTAAGGCTAAGACATACTTCTTTGGGTATAATTATACTGTGAAACACCTTGGAAGAAGTCTAGCCCTTGATTCATTATTTGATTAATTTCTAAGCTTTGTCCTTTTGATATTTAATCAGCAAAAAAGTTGGGTTGCTTATTATTTACACAAAGGCTACTTTTTCTGTGCTCCCTCTGTGGTTTCTACATTCACTATTAAGCAAACAGTAATAATCACATAAAGAATGTATGTTGTTGTTCTTGTTGTTGTTAAGTGCCGTGGAGTCAGTTCCAACCCATAGCGACCCTGTACAGGGTTTCCGAGGCTGTAAATCTTTACAGGAGCAGAACACCTCATCTTTCTCCCGCGAAGCGGCTGGAAGTTTCGAACTGCTGGCCTTAAGGTTCGCAGCCCGATTCATAACCACTACACTACCGAGCAAGTAAAAAAATATTGCTACCAGGGTTCCAGTTCATATATGCATGGTTTATTCCAAACAAAATATATTTAAACATGTCACTGTAGGCTGGATAGTTGGGCTACAAACTGTAATGTTAGCACTTCAAGCCCACTACCAGCTTTGAGGAAGAAAGATGAGGCAATCTGTTCCTACAAGGTGTGATAGTCTCAGAATCCCTATACAAGATCTCTGTGAGTTGGAATCAACTTGAAGGCAATGGGTGTTGGTACTCAGCAGATGGCTGCAGATAAGTTCTCTCTGTAGTACACTTGGTCTTAGTCTTGTTAGATTGCCTTCAGAAAAAGGTCTAATCAAAGTAGTGGCTTCTGAAGGGATCTGCTGAATGAGTAACATTCAAGGCAGAGAGATTTATTCAAGGCTCAGAAATTTATGGCAACTGCTTTTTGGAACACAGGACAATGATAAATTTTCCCAAAGGACGATCTTGAAAGCTTTTTTTTAAGAACATAGGATCAGGGCTTATTATAAAAAACTTTTAAGAAAATGGAAATCTACATGGTAAGAAAAAGGCCAAGAAAGTTGTGCCGAGGAATTTTTTTCCATCATGACAATGAACGTACATACTCATCCTTCGAGAATAGCAAGGACTCTCGTATGAGAGTTTTGTTGGGAAACTTTACTTCATTCATTCTACAGCCCTGATCTTGCCCCTTCAGATTTCCTTTTGCTCCTGAAACTCAAAGAATATTTAAAAGGAATATGATTTGAGTTCTTAAGGATGCAAAAACTTCTGTTTTGATGTATGAATCAAAAAATGTGGAATTCTTCAGAAAAGGGTTAGAGAGATAGACATACCACTGTCAAAACTGTATAGACCGAGATGGAGATAAGTCAAGAAACAGTAGCTTCATATTTTGATACTTTTATTTTGTAAAGATTCCTATGATCTTGTAAGCAAAACTTTTTTTACTGTAGTTTTGAGAAAGAGCTGCAGACTTCCATATACCGTTTGTACCCAATATTTCTGTAGCATTTCTATGTTGTAAATATTTTAGTGTTATATTTAGTTTGATTTCAGTTTCAGAAAAACTTCATGTTTGTTCCTTTCGGTCTTTTTCTTCATTAGATCATGTGTGAGAAAGTCCTTGATCTGATGTGCTACATGGTACTTCCCATCCAAGATGGAGGCAAACCACAGGAGGAACCATCAAAAGTAAAGCCCAAATTTAGAAAGGGTATGGTGACAAATATTATTTTTATTTTGAGAACATTTATTTTATAGTAAGATGATGCTGTTGTGATTTTGCAAGACTTGATAAGCTATTGAAAAGTTAATCCTTTGCCAAGTTTTTTCTTGGCTCTAATTTTCTAAGTGGCTATAAATCTGTATTTCTCTTCATTTCCTGTGTTTATTTCCCTTTGAAGATTACCAATGATTTCCTTTTCCTATCTTTACCAATTCTAGAAAAACTTACAGGTAATAGATAGAAGTACTCTTAGTGTAATTTCCTGTTGGGCCTTTTTGGGCTTCACCTCAAGTTACACATTGCTTTAAAAGCTATGGAACTTCATTGTTTCAAGAAAGGCTCACTTTCACTCCTTTAAGTTTTCAACTTAAAAGTTAGAAAAACAACAAAAAGGCAATAGCCAAACCAAGCCCACTCTATCAAGTCAATCCTGACTCATGACGGCCCTAAGGAAATAAAGACAAGAATAGAAATTAATACAAAATAGGGAAATTTAATAAAACCAAAAGTTGTTGCTAAGAAAAAATTAATAGATTAAAGATTGAACCAGAAGAGAGTAAACACAAATTATGAATATCAGGAATGAAAGCGGGAATGTTGCAATAGGTCCTGCTGAAATCAAAACAACAATAGGAGAATAAATTGTGAATAACTTTATGACAGTTGGTTGAACAACTTAGATGAATGGGAAAATGCCTTGAAAAATGTAACTTGTCAAAATTGATTCAAACTTAAATAGAAATTCTAAATGTTCTTGTTATCAAAGAAAATAAATTAGCAAAACCTCCCCACAAAGAAACTCTAGGCCTAAATAACTTCACTGATGAATTCTGTCAAACATTTAAGGAAGAAATACCTATATAAATCCTTTCCAAAAATAGAGGAAGAAAGCACACTTCCAGCATAACTGGTGTAGTGTACCTGAAGTTCTCTAGCATCAGGAGGAAAAGAGAATCCCCATCCACCCAAAGCTGATTTCTCTGTGGTGGAGGTCAGACATACCTTCGCTCCAACTTCATTACCATCTCTAACGCCAGTCATCCTTCTCATGCCACCCTCGACTTCTGTGGTTGGTTCAATCATTCATTGCAATGGCCACACAGAACTTACAGACCATACTTACTGTTAAGTAGTTTGTTAAGGAAATTACAAAGCACAACTTTGGATCAGGATCAACAGGTTGCAACTCACGCAACTTTCTCAGCTTCTCTCAGCTGTGCAAGCAAGTGGACCCTTCTCTCTGTTGTGTATATCCCTTAGCTACACTTCCTCTTAGCCCCCTCAGGACAGACTTAGTCTCAGCTCCCTCAGGACAGGCCTCCTTTCTGCCTCCCTGCCTCTGCCTTGCTAACTGACCCAGTTCATAGTCAGTGTAGCACTTTTGTTCAGCTTTCTTAGTTGCATTCATAGCAGATTTCTGCCATCACCACTGACTCTACTGCAGGCCCCTTCCAGACCTGTCACTGCCAGCTATGCTGCAGGGCCCCTTCTGGGCTCCTCACTGTCTACAGTATTATAGCCCTTGGCTGGTGTTACAGTTCTTTTAGAAGATTCCTTACCCTCTTTCTATGTTTCTTTCTTCTTGCCTTTTCTCCTTTCTGCTGCTGCTTCCTTTTTTCTGCCAACCTCTGTGAGATTGACTGCATATATACTCAAGCTCCTGGTCAGTTTCATGGTAAAGCCTCCCTACCAGAGACGCAAACTAACCAATCTCTTTCAGTAGTCCATTACTTCATTTGTGTAAAACAGCAGTATTCTTTTCATTTATTTAAGTATATTGACAAGTCCCTACAAAGTATATACAATATATTGGTTACAAGGCAGGGTGCAGTCCAGGACCAGACAAAACATATTAAGCCATCAAATTGTTTACAGCTTACCCAGGAAATGTCAGTCAACCAGGACAAAAGTACTAAACTGCCTAAGGTACAAAACTAGGGTGCAGTGGTGACTCCTCAGGAGGAAAATCTCTCAAGCCATTTTCCCAAAGAACAAAGGCAAAACACATGAAGGAATTCATTTTACCACACTTCCCAATCCATGTTATGAGGCCAACATAGCCCTGATAACAAAACCAAAGAAGGGCATTACAAGAAAAGATAATTAAACACTAGAAATGATCATCATGAAAGGAACTCTGGTAGCATAGTGGTTTTGAATTGGGCTGCTAACCTCAGGGTCAGCAGTTCAAAACTTCCAGCTGTTCCATGAGAGAAAGATGAATCTTTCTGCTCCCATAAAGATTTACAGCCTCAGAAACCCTTGACGGGGTCACTGTGAGTCAAAACCGACTCCAGGGTACATAACTACCACCACCAACCGATGATCATGAGGAGTCCTGGTGTGTAACTGTAGGATAAGCACTAGACCATAAGGTCAGTTTGAATCACAAGGTCGGTGGTACAAACTTATCAGTCACTCCATGGAAACCCTATACAGGTTCTCTGTGAGTCGAATCACCTTGACGGCACTTAACAATAACAACAAAGCAATCGTGAACATAGATGTGAAAGTCCTTAACAAGATATTGTTGTTGTTGTTGTTGTTAAGTGCCATCGAGTCGGGTCCGACCCATAGCGACCCTGTACAGGGTTTCCGAGGGTGTAAATCTTTACGGGAGTAGAAAGCCTCATCTTTCTCCCGCAGAGCGGCTGGTAGTTTCGAACCGCTGACCTTAAGGTTCGCAGCCCGATTCGTAACCACTACGCTACCAGAGCTCCTTAGCAAATCAAATACAGCAATACACAAAAGGTGAATGAAATATGACAAACTATCCCAAGGATGCAAGGGTGGTTTAACATAGAAACCTTAATCAATGTAATTTGCTACATTAGACAATTCAAGGAGAAAAATCATAACTGTCTTAATAGATACAAACTTTAGCACCTATTAGTAATTTTCTAAAAAAGATGTGTTTTGGAAATAGAAGAAAATCTTCTCAACATCATACTTCACTTGGACATATTGACTATTTCCCTCCTTAAGATCAGAATCAATACAAAAATGTCTACTCTCACTGCTTCTGTCCAGCATCCTGGAAATTGTAGTCAGTGCAATAAGACACAAAAAGGAGCAAAGGCATAAAACTGGAAAAAGAATTGTCTTTATTTACAGATGACATATTTGGCTATATAAAAAAATGCAAAAAACAAACCAAAGCCATAGACGTCAATTCAGACTCATAGTGACCCTAGAGAGGTCTTGCAGACAGGAGCAGATACCCCATTTTTCTCCCGCAGAGCAGCTTATGGGTTTGAACTACCAACCTTGTGGTTAGCAGCCCAATGCATGGCCCAAATAGCAGCAGAAAAATAAAATACTTAGGGGTAAATGTAATAAAAGAGGTGTAAAACCTCTCCATTAAACACTACAGAACAGTGCTAAGAGAAATGATTTTTTTTTTTTTAAAGATACAGCATAATCCTAGATCAGAAGATTCAATTAATGATAAGATGGTAACTCTTTACTAAATTTATCTATAAATCTATTGCCATTCCAATGAAAATTCCAGCAGGATTTCTTTTTTTTTCTTTTTTGTAGAAATTAGCAAGTAGATTCTAAAATTTATATGGAAAAGATACATCTGATCTGGAATAGTCAATACAGTTTTGAAAAAGATGAACAAAGTTCATCCTTTATTACCTGATGTTAAGTGCCATCAAGTTGGTTCTTACCCGTAGTGACCCTGTATAGGGTTTCCAAGGAGCAACTGGTGAGCTTGAACTGCTGACCTTGCAACTCAAACAGCTTTGCAGTCTGGTGCACGGCACACAACAACAACACTATTATTACACTGTCTTGTTTATGAAGTATTGTTATTACCTGATGGCATTTAACAACAAGAAGTATAATCATGGTTTAATTATATTTGAAATCATGTGACTGTTGCTTATCTTTATTTATTGTTAAGACAAGCATTTTACTTGGGGTTTTTTTTTGCAGCTTTTTGATGATAACATGCATTTTGTGGACTTTTGTTAGGTTCGGATCTGAAGCTTCTGCCTTGTACCAGCAAGGCTATTATGCCATACTGCCTGCACTTAATGCTAGCCTGTTTTAAGGTAAGGTCCAAGTAGATTAGTCTGGAATTTTTTAAAATTTGTAATAACATTCTGATTAAGTAGGATGACTTGAATTGAGAGCCCTGTGAAGGAATGTTAGCTTACTTTAAAAGGACATCTGATGTAGTGGGAAAAGAGCATTGGCTAGGAATTAATAAATATTTACTAAATAACAACTTAATAAGCAAAGATGTAGGAAACTATCCTCAGCCTCAAAAAGTTTACAAATATTAAATATAGAAATAAACATAAGATAATTTATACCCAATGGCAAGGGCCATAGAGAAACTGAAAGTATCAGAATAAACTAGGACAGAGAGGTTGGCAAACTTTTTCTGTAAAGGCACAAAGAGTGTGTGTCTGTTGCAGCTACACTCAACTTTGCCATTGTAGCATGAAAGCAGCCCCTGGCAGTACATTACGGGTAAGCATGGCTGTGTAAAACTAAGACACTGAAATTTGAATTTCATATTTTTAAAAAAGACATTTACAAATAGTAGTGTAGTAAAAATGCAAATAAATTTGCCCAAAGTAGTATTCAGTAAATACTTTATGAATTACTATATAAGTCAGAATATACTGGCGGTCCCCATGTTACCAGTGTCTTGCCTTTTCATGTTACGTAAATTTTCTGAAAGTGAAAAGATGACTTAAAGTGTTTACTGATGAAGATTACAGTATAGATTATACCTCAACATAAAACAAAAATCCTCATAAATGGACCAATAAGCAACATCGTGTTAAATGGAGAAAATATTGAAGTTGTCAAAGATTTCATTTTACTTGGCTCCATAATCATTGCTTATGAAAGCAGCCGTCAAGAAATCAAATGATACACCCTATTGAGCAAATCCGCTGCAAAAGACCTCTCACTGTAGGATAAGCACTGGACCGCAAGGTCGGTTTGAACCACAAGGTTTACCAGACGCTCCTTGGAAACCCTTTACAGGGTCATGATGAGTTGGAACCGACTCAACAGCACTTAACAACAACAAACTGTTAAAGAGCAAAGATGTCATTTTGAGGACTAAGGTGTACCTAAACCAAGCTATGGTGTTTTCAGCTGCTACGTATGCATACAAAACTTGACCAAAGAAAGGAAAGACCAAGAAGAATTGATGCCTTTGAATGATGGGGTTGGCAAAGAATATTGAATATATCATGGAATGCCAAAAGAATGAACAGATCTGTACTAGAAGAAGTTCAGTCAGTATACTCCTTAGAAGCTAAGATGGGGAGACTTCTTTGCATGTACTTGGAAGGAGCGGTCCCTGGAGAAAGAAATCATGCTTGGTAAAGTAGAGGATCAGCAAAAAGGAAGAAGACCTTCAACAAATTGGACTGACAGAGTGACTGAAAGATTGGACTCAGACATGGCAAAGATTGTGAAGATGGCACAGGACCAGACAGTGTTTCATTCTGTTTCCTGTAAGGTCACGGTGAGTCAGAACTGACTCTACGGCACCTAGCCACAATTTTATCCTCACTTTAAAATGAGTGTGAATCAGCTCCTAACCCCTAAAATTCTTCATCACAATCACACTTAACTTTTGAATCATTGAAAAGAGTTCAGGTATTTTCTTGCATTAAACCCAAACCCACTGCCATCAAATTGCTTTCAACTCATAGAGACCCATTAGGACAGAGTACAACTACCCCCATAAGGTTTCCAAGACTACTCTTTACAGGAGAATGCAGTGGCTCCATAAAATAAGCCACGCCATGGCAGAAAGACGAGGCTTTCTGCTTCCACAAAGATTTAAAACCTCAAATCCTATACAGGGTCGCTATGAGTAAGAACCAATTTGATGGCACTTAGCAACAACAATCTTTACAAAACCAGAGTGCCACATCTTCTCCCACAGAGAGAGAGGCTTGTTGATTCCAATCTGTTTGATTAGCCACCTAGTACTTTAACCATTGTGCTACCAGGGCTGACTTCTCTTACACTAAAGTAAGGCTAAATAAGAACCATGTGCATACCAGTTCCAGTCTACTTAGAAATTCTAACTTAAAGCCACAATTAAGAACTGAGCTTGTTCACAACTCAGGGGGTGCCTGATTATCAAAAGAAGGTAATACAAATGCTGTTGGCTTCTTAGAGACTGTAGTTTATTATCGTAAAGAGATCATCATGGGTGAAAACCTTTGAAGCATTAGGATAAGCAGCAGCAAAGACCAGCAGCGTTGGGACAGTGTCAGTAGTGTTGAGAGATCAACAAGGTTTTTGGCTGCAGGAAGAGGAACTTTTTAGCAGAGAAGCCAGATTGTTTCACAGAGGTTTATGAACTAGAGAGGAGCTGTATTGGGTCTCCAGTTTAGTGTAGTAATTCCCAACCTGAATTCATCATCAGAATCCCCTGGGACAGTGGAAACCATCCAAAGTGTGATTTTAGACATAACTGCTCATTTAAAATAAAAAGTCCCTTAACTGTTCTCTAGTCCACCCTCCAGTTTCCTGTCGTGTTGCGCACTGCCTTTCTTTATCCCCAACCCCATGTTCTCCTCAAACCCTTTGCTCCTAGATGACCTTTTGTGCACCCTCCACCCCTATCTGTCCTCATATTCTGTCTATGCAGAGAGAAATTTCTGTGGTGTCTCTGCCTCTGCTAAACTGCTCAACTATTCTTGGCCCTTAATCTAAAATTCAGAAGTTTCAGGCCCAGCCATGCATATCCAACCTGCATCCACATTCTTATGTAAATGTACTGCTGGTAACCTCTTTCACAACCCCAGGAGATCCTGGAGGCTTCTGTATTAGGATCCACCCTTGTTAGAAAGCAGTTGTGATGCTTAAATAGCAATTTTGTTTTCTGTGATGTTCTTTCCTTATAATGACTTTTATCATGCATTTTCATACAGCTGCATTTTTTAGGAAGTGATATTTGCTATATTTTAAATTGTCCCTTGATTTCCTTCTCCTTCTGTGTCTTGCATAAATCCTTGTCTTACAGCTTAGAGCTTTCACGGACAACAGGGATGACATGGCATTGGGGCATGTGATCGTATTGCTTCAGCACGAATGGCCACGGGGAGAGAATCTTTTCTTGAAAGCTGTCAATAAGATTTGCCAACAAGGAAATTTCCAATATGAGAATTTTTTTAATTACGTTACAAGTATCCTTTTTCTTGTTCAAGCATAAATTCTGCTGTTTTAGAATGAATGCATAGTATCAACAAATGAATGAGCCATTCTAAGTAGAAACTATGGTTTTGACTATGTACTTACTGGGTACTCATCAGCTCCTTTTTGAGAAAAAAAGAAGGAATAGCAATGAAAGACGTGGCTCGCATCTTGTCTTGTGACTATCATAAAAAGCTTCAAAGAAGTCATTTGGAATATTATCAACCTTGTTCCATTTTCTATTTCCAGCCACTTTCTAGGAATGTACCCCAATGCCATGAAATAATAGCCTACAGATACCTAGCAGGTCCAGAATGGCTAGTATAGCTGCAGAATGTATTGAGTTCATGAGCCTTCATCTGTCAAGAGTGCCTAGTGTGGTCTCTCCCTGTCCCCTGGGATCAACTGTTAGAATACCATGCCAAAGCTGTCATACATAACTGCCACTGAGAACCCACTAAAGCTTCTCCCCAATACAGGAATTGTGTTACTTCATTCTGTTGACCAGGAACAGAAAGACCTTCTTTAACTTGAGGGTTACTCATCAGTGTGGGTATTTATATCCATCACTTATGTAGTTGTGTCATTTCTGAGTTGCAAGGAATCTGATAGCCTTGTCCAAGTATTTAGAGCAAAGGTTCTTAACCTTGTTTTGAGACAGAAGACACCTGGTCCCAAAGCAGGGTTAAGAGTCTGCAAGTGCATATATCATCAATTTAGTGAGTTCACAGAAACGTCTTCCCCCTAAGCATCTGAACAACCTTGCACACTAAATATAAAGGAAGAGTCACTTGATATTTATAAATTGTATATTATACAACCTAAAACCATCCCTCTCTTTCATTTCTTTTTAAAGAAACAAAGGATTTTACTCTTATGACTACGTAGAATCTATTTTATTATTTTATATATATATGGGGAACATGTCATAATATCTTTGAGCCTGGAAAATCTTATGCCAAGAATTGTCTTTGTGAAGCACCTTGTTTGCTGTAAGAATCGTAACTCTGGAACCAGACAGACTTGGATTCAAATACTATAACTCTACGATTGTTAGTTGGGTGGCGACGGGCAAGTTACACAGTTGTTCTGAGAACATGGGCACCAAGTTTTCATATGTGGTTAACCTGAATCTGGCCTACAGATATTGACATGCTGGAGGAGTTTGCCTACTTAAGAACTCAGGAAGGTGGCAAAATTCATCTGGAATTACTACCTAATCAAGGAATGTTGATCAAGTAAGCATGTTATCTTTTGCTCTTCCTCTGCTGAATACTCATCTTTGTGTGCTTTTAGAAAATAAATTTCTGTACCTTTCAGAAATTTAATAAGATAGAGTCCACATGTGGTCTCTGTTTCTGAGAGTAGATTTGGTCTTGGGTACCTGTTGAAAGACTTGCATTTCCTTAACTACATTTCTGATTCAACGTTGTTTGTGTTGGGGTATTTCTGTCAGTTTCAAAACTTCACTAGAGACAGGAGTCCCATTCACAATATCTTTTCCTGTCCAAAATTCAGATACTGATCCTAAAAATTCCTAATGTACATACAGTACTTCTAATTAAGCAAAGCCATTCTTAATTAAAGTTGTATTGGATTGGGAAATTCATTAGGCACAATTAGTTTTTATTTATAAACTGTACATGTACTTAAATATTTAGTGGAGGCCCTTCTAAGCACTCCTCATTGCTATCATAGGACAGAGTAGCTTTGATAGCGTAGTGGTTACGAATTGGGCTGCGAATTGCAAGGTCAGCAGTTCGCAACTACCAGCTGCTCCATGGGAGAAAGATGAGGCTTTCTGCTCCCATAAAGATTTACAGCCTTGGAAACCCTGTTCAGGGTCGCTATGGGTCGGAACCGACTCAATGGCACTTAACAACAACATTACTTACAAGAAAACACCTGCTCAAGAAATGGTGGCAGGCGTGTTCTCCATCAGTCAGAGCCCCCCACACCCACCTGGTGCCGCCAAAATGGCATCTGGACCCAGGTGAGACTAACAAGCTAGTGACCATTTATGATTTTTAAATAGTCCATATCTTGCTTCTATCCTTTGATACTCATTGTAGTTTGAATAATATATCCTTTCTGCTGTAAATGCCACGTGTAGTTTTATTTTCTTACTTACTCTTTTTGCTTACTGCATATTCAGTGTGTCTATCAGTCAGAATTAGAGTCACTGCAAGAAAATGAACCCTAAGATAGAACAAAGTGTTACTATGTGTAAAAATAGTTGTATTTTTCCCTCAGTTGTAGAAAAATGAGTTTTCTGTTGTCTAAAGTAAAAGTCCTCATCTGGTTCCATCTTGGTAGAATCTTAGAAATGCTAAGAGAGGAATGTAAGCAATACTTATTCTGGGTCCTAGTATGGCGCTGGATAAGCAAGGTTGGCAGTTCAAACTCACCAGCCGCTCCTCGTAAACCCTGTACAGGGTCGCTGTAAGTCAACTAACTTGACAGCACTAACAACAACCATAACCTTAGGAATTTGATGTATAGCGAACATTTTTAGGTCTTGTCAAGAATATGGTGGCCTACTGGTTAAATGCTCGGCTACTGACCACAAGGTTGGCAGATCAAACCCATGGGGTGATCAGTGTGATAGAGATGTGGCAATCTGCTTCTGTAATGAGTACAGCCTGGAAACCTGTGGAGCATTTCTTCTCTGTCCTTCAGGTTCCCTGTGAGGCACAATCAACTTGATGGCACCTAGTTTGGTTTAACGGGTTTATTTAGAAGAGTCTTACAGAATCCACTTTTAAAAATGGAAAGATTAAGTGGGGTTTTGTTCTTCATTTTTTAAGTGCTTATTATATATTCCAAGCATTTAAAATAAAACAACAGATTCTCTTTTTGACCAAAAAATGAGACCTTTATACATTAAATTGCATAAGCAAGATACACTGTAACACTCATCTACCAGTATCCATTTACTTCCCTAAGATTCTGAATAAAAGCTAAAAGAAAAATAATTCCATGGTTCAAAAATAATTCTGAACAATGTTAAGAATCAAGATTACTGGAGCCACATAAAATCACTTTTGTGCTATGATTTCCAGGTTGTGTGGCAGGATATAAAAGTTAACTTAAATATCTTTCCAGTTTTCCCCATTTATACTCACGGTACACATTATCATAATATAGGGACAGCCATAGTAGGACCAAACTCTACCTATTTGGAATTTAACTTACAGGTGATTCTCACTGAGATCAATGCTTAACTATTGTGAGAATGTGAGAGAATAGATTGTCAAAATAAAATCAAGTTGGACCACAAACTTCAATGTACTGAATCTTTCATTTTTTACCAAACAGTTTTTGTTTAACTGAACAGTTACATGGATACATGCAAACCAGGAATGAAAGCAAAGGGTGATGGACACCTAGATCATAGCACCATAAAGGGCTATTTGGGGTAGAGATGCACATCATGCACTTCTAGGCTTTTAAGGGGGTAATTCCATTCTTTTCCACATTGGTTATTATAAGCCTTAATTCCTTCTAACTCCCTGGAAAAGACCATTAAACTTCTTGGGAAACTTGCTGTTTCATCAGTTTGAAAACAGGAATAGGGCATTTTACCTAGTGAGCTGACCTTATAGGAATCTGCCCAATTAATCTTCACTGTATGAGTCTCAAAGTTAATTTGAGATCCGCATTTCACATTATTTATGACTAAACTACGCAGGTAAAAGCACACTGCATAAGACAGAGGGCTCTTACTCTCTGAGGTGTGATTCGAATCTTGAATAAAGCTATATGCCTTTCCCTTTGGATTCCAAACCTATATTCTGAAGCCTCTGCAGGTCTTTTGGGTGGTCCCTTCAGCTAAGTAGCAGAGATGTTGTGTTGTTGAGCCTGTCCTAGTAGTGGCATCTGGGATACAAGCAGGTATAGTACAAACACTGAGGAAACCTGGTACCTTGCCAAAAAGAAGGATGAGTTCTTTATTGTTGCACAGACATTGTGCTTTTAATGTTTTAAAACAGAGAAGTGTTCTATGCTGGTGTTTGTAGTATCTTAGCCACATGAGACTGACTGAAAATGGAAAACAATGTCCTGTATGTGGTCTGAATAGGGTGGAAAATCATGTCTTTTGAGATGATCACTCTGGTGATACACTAAACCCAGGTGGTTACAGAATTCCATACAACCTTGGATCCCAGGCTCTTTCACCCCATCCATTCCTTGTCATGTTGTTTTTTGTGTATTTTTAAAAATAACCTTTTGAAATCCAAACAATGTTTCTGTATCAAAAACTCTGCCAACTTCTCAGTCTCCTTGGAAGAACGTCTTGTTTGATACTTAAATCCTGTCAAAGATGGTTACAAAAAGTAGCCAGGTATTGTTCTGGGATTGGTGGTGAGTGGAGGAAGCTGGAATTGAAAACATGTCTTCTCAAATGTTAACCCTTTTTCCTTCTGCCATTTAGTTGCATTTCATCAGCCTCTCCTCACTGGTTGCTTTTTATCCCAAATCTCCAGCGGGCTGAGCTCTGGGACCTCTAGACGTGCGCCCGCAGCGGTGCAGTGAGAGGGGTTGCTTGCTTCTCCCGGCCTCCTCAAAAACACAGCCGCAGCCAGTGCTTGTTGGAGGTCAAAGCGTTTCTGTAGAGTCGGCTTCCAGTCTTCTGCATTTTCTGTGCAGTGTTGTTTTTGCAGTGCAGGGTGAGTCGGTGTGGGTGTTTGAATGCTGCTGTTTGCTGTTTTTTAAAGGCCTTCTAGCCCTCCCATGGGGTTACTGCAGCAGGAATTCTTACCTGTGCTTCAGCCCAGCATACAGACTGCTGACAGGTACCAAGTGGAAAAACACCTGCTCATAGTGTGCTGTTTTGTCAACATGTTTTACTGCCCATGGTTTTCAGCTCTTTGTTACTCAGTACCCTTTCATGCTTTGTTTATTGTTTTAATTTGTTCTGCATTCCTTGGCAAACCATCTGGGTGTACTATTGTAACATTTTTTTATTTTCTTCCATAAGTTGCCAGTGTGTTTGTGTTCAATTTAAAAATCATTATGGGTCTGAAAAAAAATTTTATATAAAACTGTATTAAATTTACATGTACATTAGATTAGGGGATAAACTATGATTCTCTTGATAAAGCATAAAGCAATCGGTCATAAATATTTAAGGATGCTGACACTTGTTTTATTTTTATTTTGTTTTTTTAAGTTTCATATTAATGACCAGAATTGAGGTTCCTTTGGCTTAAATACATTTTAGTACAGTTTTTTCCTGTCACTGATATTATTTGATTTCAGAAATTGCCTTTCTGAATTGAAATATTTGATAGGCTTGAATCTACATTTATTATTAGCAGGTTTATCCTTAAATCATGAAAGCTACCTCATTCTCCTTCATTCAAACTTATCAGAGTGATAGAGGCACTTTTGTGATAATGATAGAAATAAACTAGTGAACTACCAAGTTGCAACATTTTACTATATTTATTTTTAACTAGTATTAAGGGGAAATGTAGCTTCGAACCCTCCAGTTTAGTGTCTGCAAATACCTAACTTACATTGGACAGAGGGTCCACTCTACTTTGGAGTGCAATTTTAGACCAGAAGAGAAGACTCTCAGGGCAGCATTCGGTGGTCTGCATTTATTCCCTATGGACTCCATGGCTGCGACCTCACTGACACTGTGTCCTGATTGCTTAGTTAACCAGCCAGACTTGGCTAGAAATGCCCACAAAGAACTGCATTTGCTCCATGGCAGTGCTGCTTCACTATGGAGGTCTTACAAATGTCAGTGGGCATTGTAGAAGATCTGGGAATGTCTTCACAGATGTGAAAAAAAAACCTGATGTTTGTTGTTTTCCTTTTGTTACACTGCAACTTTATGCTTTGATTCTTGTTATACTTTTAATATGGTACTACACTTTTAAAAGAGAAAAAATGTTAGAGTGGTTGCAGCAATTATTTTTGCCAATACATAAAACCACTTTAAAATCCTTGTCAGGTATCTGGGGGAAGTCAAGCAGTAGGAATTGGGAGTGGAGTTCTCTTCTGTTTGTCTGCATCTACCAAATTGCCAAGCTTTTTGTGTCCTAATTGAACCAACCCATTGATCTTTGCTAGATATTTCTTTTCCTTCATTTTGGTGTCTTAAGTTTTCTGAGATTTCATATGTAAGTTCCTTCTTAAAGTTCAACTTTGAGGACATAATGAGACCTTGCTTGTGCTTCCACTGACCCCTCCACCAATGTCCAGGTCTCCTCTGAGCGCCTGGGCCAGTCCTGGCCCATCCGTTGGACTTGGCAGGCCCCAACTCTGCTCTTCTGGCATTCTGCTCCTCTCCCCAGACCTGGGCAGACTTGTCTCAGGAGCCCCATTTCCCCCAGCTGCTCCTCAGGGAGTCTGGATGGACTCAGCACTTGGCAGGAGCGGCTTTGTCCTTGCATTTTGGGGGAAAGTTTGTGCTTGTAACCCTGGCCACTGTGCTGAAGGCCCTAGCCTTTCACAGAGCAGCAACGGTGGGTGGGGCCATCAGTGGAAACTCAGATTGCAATAGGTTTGTTCTGGTTCCCCACCCCCTGCTGCTGCTTCTAGAGGGCCTGCTACCCTGGCTAGACACAAGAGCTTTGTGGCTGCTGTGGGCTGGACCTAGTCATCCCAGAGTCACCGAATTGTGCAAGTGTCAGCAGTAGGGATATATAAAACAGAGCTTCAGGATTCCAAAAGTAAAACTGATAGCATTTTACCAAAAATTAAGATGTTTAAAACAACCTTTTACAGAGTCTAAATGATAACTCTAGTTTTAATTCTTTCTGAGAAGCTTGTTTGGTTCTTTTTTCTTTCTTTCTTTATTGTTTACTTATTTATACTTAGGTATGAGTCAGGCTTTACTTATTAGGTCTTATCCTACCGGAGTAACACTGTCTTCACTCTTGACGCTGCTGCTGACCCTGGCCTTCTCTGTTTCCCTGTTGCTGACCTCAGGCACCACACGGTTACTCGAGGCATCACCAAAGGTGTGAAGGAGGACTTCCGCCTGGCCATGGAGCGCCAGGTTTCCCGCTGTGGTGAAAACTTGATGGTGGTACTGCACAGGTTCTGCATCAATGAGAAGATCTTGCTACTTCAGACTCTGACTTGACTGAAGATCTTTCTGCCAGAGAGAATTTGTAGCTGTCTCCTTTGTTGTGTGCTTTGTTTTTTGTTGAGAAGATATAAAACAGTGGTGAACATGCTGTTACAACTCTTAAAAACAAGAAAACCATCTGAGTTCTAACTCACTGGTTGCATACAAGTAGTTCCCAAGAGTCTGAGAAGCTATTTCTATTTTTAAAAGTCATTTTTTAATAATTTTTGTAAAATTAAATAGCTGGTTTTGTAAATAAAAATTATCTTTAAAATCAGGATTTTGAGCATTAATTTTATGAGTGTGTTTGTTTTAAATAGTGGTGCATTCTTCTACTTTTTTAAGCACATAGCAAGGCAAATACCTAATACAGTTGGATAGAATGATGAATTTTAATATTGTACTTACTTAAAAAGATACATCTAATATTAGAGATACTTTGTACCTTCCATCATCTCAAATCCAAATCCACTGCCATGTAATAGATTCTGATGCAGAGCGACCCTATAGGACACAGCAGAACTGTTCCTTCGGTTTTCTGAGACTGTGACTCTTTATGGAAGCAGCCAGCCTTATCATTCTCCCAAGCAGCAACTGGTAATTTTACTTTCCATAGTTAGACTGTAGTAAAACCATGGGATCAACGTATTAGACCTTTCTATTCAGGTAGCTTTAATTTCAAAACCTTTAACAGAAATAAACCATCTTAGTATTCAGATGTCTCTTTAGCCTTGTCCTCACCCCACTAACATGTCTTAGCAGAGACCAGGCCTTAACAGAATGTTGAAGGAGCTGCTCACTGGGTCTGTTAGAAAGCCTAAGAAAGGAAGTAAAAGGTAGAGACAGCAGTGAAGGGGGAGGCTGACCTGTGTGCCCCTCTGCCTTGTGGGTTGTGCCCATGGAGTCTGAGGCCTGGCTTCAAACCCTGGCTCTGCCTGGTCAATGGCACTTTCCCTCAGGGTAACAGTAAGGAAATGCACAGCAGAGGGTCTTATACAGGGCTAGCACTAGGCTAGCTATCAGGCTAATTTTTCTTTAGCTGTTCCAGAAATACTAAAGGTAAACACATTTGCTTCTAAGGGTTATTTAAGAATGAAAGAGCTAAGACGTTCAGTTACTTGGTGTAAAAAGTTTTCAAATCTTGACTAAATAAGACTCTTTTTATAGATACTAAGCAGTGGACTGGTAACCACAAGGTTGACCGTCCAAACCCACCAGCTGCTCTCAGAAATCCTATATACATCCTATGCAGGGTCACTATCAGTTGGGTCCGACTCAATGGCACTCAACTAAAGATAAATCAACAAATAGATTTAAGTAGCAGATATCTGATTCACTCAACCATCTCATTTTAAAGTGTTTATCACTGTAATAAAAGTTTATTACAAATCTGTAAACCACCCTGTTGTTTTTATCATGGTATGCACTGCTCCCTAACTTTCAAATCAAACACCTTTTGGTTTTAAAGCACCTTTCTCGTGTTAGTGTTTAGAGACAGCACACATCAAACCAATACTTTCTAACAAGTATAGAAAGAAAAATCAGAAACAAGACTTTCTAATACCTAAGTGTGTTGATAGCTGGGCAAGAAGAACCAATCACCTTGGTAACAATTTTAATCAGAGGGTAAAGTCATTCAACTGATGATTAGGAAGGATTTTGAGTAGTTTTGATTGTACAGACCTCAGATAATTTTTACAGGCCAGTTAACACTGAGCAAATTTTTCATGCCATTTCTGTGTAAAGGAAATTTAAAGAGAAGGGCCATAGAGTACACTGGGAAAACATTCAAGTTTGCCAAACAAGGAGTATGCCTGTTTGGGCATCACATTGTCAAAGCCGCTCCACGGGAGAAAGATGAGGCTTTCTACTCCCGTAAAGATTTACACCCTCGGAAACCCTGTACAGGGTCGCTATGGGTCAGAACTGACTCGACGACACTTAACAACAACAACAACATACCTATGACCAGTAAATGATCACGTGTAATATGATCTGGATGGATGGAGATTCTGGTTTATAAGCCAAGTAATGTTCAGAGTTTAATCAAACATCAGAAGAAAATCAGTCTAAAGTGGAAGGGTGGGAAGATAAATAGGATAAAATATAAGAACAGCTCACTGTGAATCATGAGTTAATGAGACAATTGCTTTCTATGGAGAAAATTCCAGTAGGACTGAATTCTACTGGAACCCAACATGGTCATGAAGACTGGGAAACCATGTGCTCCCCCTGCAGCAGCAGGACCAGCTGTCCTGTTAGTCTTACAGTGTTTTGGATGGAATGGAATTCTGGGAAGGAAAACCAGCAATATAATGGCATCTGTTGTACACGGCAGTGTTTTGACATACATGATTAGATAAGTGGTTTATCAAGTCTGAAGCACTGTATGACATAATGTCAACATCCAGTATTTCCATTGACTGAATTCAGATATGCTTGTAGCCTAAGGAAAAACAATGGTTTGGAACCCAAGAAAAGTTGGTTACCAAGAGAAAAATGTTGACTTACTACACTATGGTAAAAACACTTAGATGAAATAAATACGCAACAAAAGTCAACCACTCACAATGTGTTCTCCCACCTAATTTCAAAATTTAAACAAAAGCTATGTCTAAGATTTCAAAAACCCCAATCCACTGCCATCCACTGGATTCTGATTCACAGTGACCCTATAGGACAGAGCAGAACTCTTCCTTATGTTTTCTAAGACTGTAACACTTTATGGAAGCAGCCAGCCTCATGTTTCTCCCAAACAGCAATTGGTGGGATTGAACCACCACACTTGCACAGTTAGTAGCCCAACACTTCACCCACGGCACCACCAGGACTCCCTAAAGATTTCAAATGCTGAAATTATTCCAGAAGCGACATTATTAATGGAACTATAGCTTATATGGTGGGTTGCCTAGCATTTTCTTTTCCAACGTTTTATTGTGAATTGAGTGAAGGTTTACAGAGAAGATGATCAGTTTTACATTCAACAAATCATATACTTTGCTTCTTACATGTTTGCAATCCCCTCCATATGCCAACAGTTAACAGTATTTACCTCTAATCACTTTATGTATTGCATTCTTCCCTGCATCTCCTGCTACATTCATCGGTACTCTGCTAACCTCTTGTTGTATATCGCTTGCCCTGTTAGCCATGCTAACATGTCTACTATCTAACTCATGAATAATTTTCCTTACCCCTGCCCCCATAATGATCAGAGAATATTTCTTTCATCAATAAAACCTTTTTTTAAAAAAAACTTTTACAACATTGGTCTCATACAATATCTCTTTTCTGATTGACTAATTTCATTTAGCATAATGTCTTCTAGGTTCCACCATGTTGTGAGATGTTTCACAGATTCATTATTTTTCAACATTTTATAATATTCATTGATGTATATGCACCAGAGTTTGTCTAGCCATTCTGATGATGATGGGTATTTAGGTTGTCTCCATCTTTTTGATATATCTCTTATAGACAGCATATTGAAGAATCTTGTTTTCTTATCCCTTCTGCTCTCTATGTCTCTCTTCCCCCTCCCTCATTCTGCAACTAAGCAACACTCATGAAAGCTTGTAAGCCAGCTGTTTCATGCCTTTGTAGGCCCCCAATTTTTGACAGCCAATCTCTAAATTTTTCGTCCTTATCAACTCAGTACACTGAGGCGACAAGGTCATTCCTTGATATGAAGAATACTTCAATTTCTGTTGGAATTTTGAGTCACCACATTCAAAGGTTAAAAAAGTCTAGTTTGTCAAATTGTAGCAATTTGCACTTGTTCACAGTATCAAACATCTTTATCTTTCTTGGTTCAAGTTCTGGTCAGCTAGCCATCCAAGCTAGGACAAATGAGTACTAACTGCAAGTTTGGGAGTTCACACACACCTCCCTGAACTTCAGACCAGGTGGCCACTTCATTCTCAGCTCTAGCCCTCAGGGGCTAGGTCGGTGATCATGGGCTCAAAAGTTTACACCGTTTCCTAAACTTAAGACCAGCTTTGCTTAGCACTTTTAAAAAGCTTCTAGTTTTTTCGCTTTTTGTTTTTGATTAATTGATAGAGAGATCTCTGTCTCAACAGTTTAATGTGTTGCAAAATGTTCTCAAAGTTTGTCTCCCCATTTATTTGGAAAACAGGATTACATTAAAGAGGGGAAATGTTGACATTTAAATTGATACCCTTTGGATAAAAACTGGATTACCATACATTTACATACGATGCCTTTTTATTGACTAGAGAGACTAGGAAATTTATTAGGTAGTCAGTTTAACCAATTGTAAATGGTGAGAGTGGTTATGTGACATCAAGTCAGTTCTGATTCATGGCAACCCTGCTTAGGGTTTCTGAGGCTTCAATTAGGAATTTACAAAACAAAACTCACTGCCATCAATGTTATTCCAACTCATAACAGACTTCTATTGTGTTTCCAAGGCTATAAATCTTTGCGGGATCATAAAGCCTCACATTTCTCCTTTGGAGCAGCTGATGGGTTTGTACTTCCGGCCTTGCCATTACCAATCCAGTGCTTATCCTGAATAGGAATTGTTGTTAAGTGCTATCAAATCAGCTCTGACTCAGCAACCCTGTATAGTTAGAGAGGTGGACAGAGTGTTCACTGGGAGGAGATGCTGAGCAGCACTACAAGAGAGGGAGACTGACTGGTGAGCAGTAGGCCACACAATGCCTTGTGAGCAGCTTTGGCAGTGTAGGGAGATCTGGCAGAAGAGATTCTTGTGGGTGGGGAGAAAGGTGTCTCTTCTTTTTCCCCCACACTCTCCTGGTGACCAAAATTGTGGCCATCTCCCATCTTTATCCACCCACAGCACTGACCCTGCACTGTGAGGATTTGGAGCCCCTTGGTTGGGAACCACACCAGCTTGAGGTGGGGGCTAGCTGTGCCACTTTGGCACCTGGCTTCAGGTAGGCTCATCTCCAGACTTACAAAACCCAGAGTCACCACACCAGTATTTAACCAGTCACACTGCCCCTCAGCTACCTTGTGGTCCTAACAGACACTGAAATCAGCTCCATCAAGGACCC